TTCTAGACTCTGTTATATTTCACACAAAGCCTGTTCAACGAGCTGATGGCGCCGTGAACCTCAATGGGAAACTGCCCGTGCCTCTTATGTGGTGTCAGTAGCATTTTACTGAATCCAGGTCGAGGGTTCGATTCCTTGCTGGTGAGGTCGTTGATTATATGTTCAAAGTCCGCGTGTTATATGGACTAAAAATAAAGTATATATATATATATATATATATATATATATATATATATATATATATATATATATATATATATATATATATATATATATAATCAACGACCTCACCAGCAAGGAATCTAACCCTCGACCTACTGGGTGGGACTAGGGAACGCTTACCGGCTAGGCCACAAGGACACTAAAAGCAGTTCTAGACTCTGTTATATTTCACACAAAGCCTGTTCATCGAGCTGATGGCGCCGCGTGTTATATGGACTAAAATGAAGTATATATATGTACCTCGCGTTTCATACCAGCTGGATTCGGTAAAATGCTACTGACACCACATAAGAGGCACGGGCAGTTTCCCAATGAGGTTCACGGCGCCATCAGCTCGATGAACAGGCTTTGTGTGAAATATAACAGTCTAGAACTGCTTTTAGTGTCCTTGTGGCCTAGCCGGTAAGCGTTCCCTAGTCACACCCAGTAGGTCGAGGGTTCGATTCCTTGCTGGTGAGGTCGTTGATTATATGTTCAAAGTCCGCGTGTTATATGGACTAAAAATGAAGTATATATATGTACCTCGCGTTTCATACCAGCTGGATTCGGTAAAATGCTACTGACACCACATAAGAGGCACGGGCTGTTTCCCATTGAGGTTCACGGCGCCATCAGCTCGATGAACAGGCTTTGTGTGAAATATAACAGAGTCTAGAACTGCTTTTAGTGTCCTTGTGGCCTAGCCGGTAAGCGTTCCCTAGTCACACCCAGTAGGTCGAGGTGTTCGATTCCTTGCTGGTGAGGTCGTTGATTATATGTTCAAAGTCCACGTGTTATATGGACTAAAAATGAAGTATATATATGTACCTCGCGTTTCATACCAGCTGGATTCGGTAAAATGCTACTGACACCACATACGAGGCACAGGCAGTTTCCCAATGAGGTTCACGGCGCCATCAGCTCGATGAACAGGCTTTGTGTGAAATATAACAGAGTCTAGAACTGCTTTTAGTGTCCTTGTGGGCTAGCCGGTAAGCGTTCCCTAGTCCCACCCAGTAGGTCGAGGGTTCGATTCCTTGCTGGTGAGGTCGTTGAATATATGCTCAAAGTCCACGTGTTATATGGACTAAAAATGAAGTATATATATATATATATATATATATATATATATATATATATATATATATATATATATATATATATATATATATATATATATATATATATATATATATATATATATATATATATATATATGGTATGAATATTTATTTAAACCACCTTCCTTGTGTTTTGACAGGTAAACAAAGTACATCGTCATCGGTGCTGGGTGTGGTGAAGGAGGTGTTGGCCACATTGGCATATTCCAAATTCTCAGTCTTTTTCCTCACAGACGGCAGCACATCTGCATCCACCATTTTCAAGGTAGAGTGGAGTGGCTTGGCTGTTACTGAAATGTCACGTGACACATTCAAATTATCAGACGCAAATTGCATTAACATACAACAAATTTCTATTCAACATTAACACAGTATCTTTTCAGTTGGAAGAGGAGCTGCCTATTCCCGGAGGTGTTGGTGTTTTTGAGGTAGTGGTGGAGGGTCAATATATTGACAATATAAACACGCAGCTTTCTCATGTAATCTGTGTAATAAAACAGGTAATTCTTGAACGTTATTTAACTTTGTTGTCACTCTCACACTGATACTGAGTAGGGTAGATTATTTTAATTATTACCGAGGCGAGTTAGTCAATCACAATGGTGTAGAGAGAGTTACTTCTAGTGATGCTCTAGTGAGACATTGTTATAGTGGTGCTAGAATTCTTTATCCCTTACAAAGGTCTTCATTAACAATGCTGTTATAGTAAGTCAACGTCACATGAGTACTAGAAGCGGTAAATATTACAAGGGTGTTACAGTTAGTCACTCTTTATTGTTGGTCAAGTTAGCCACTCCTACAGTGGTGCTAGAGGAAGTACCCACTCCCACATTACTGCCAGTGACAGGTCAGTCAAACAGTACCATTTCGTTGTTAACAGCTGCGGCAAATGTCATCACACACGACAATTGTGCTCATCAGCGACGACCCAGCCTTCCTCGCCGCCTTCGCCGAGTGGTCCCTCAAGAGCCGCCTCTTGGTGTGGTCGACGAGGCTCCTCGCCGTCACCCGCCTGCCCCTCCAGGAGCTCCACCACCTACAGAGAGCATTTTCCAAGATGAATGCCGTGTTGGCCATTATCAACGATGATTCGACGAACCACCGGTACTGTGATATATATATATATATATATATATATATATATATATATATATATATATATATATATATATATATATATATATATATATATATATAACACAAAGAAGGATGTCTGTGTGTTTGTTTGTGTGAGTGTGTGTCCGCACGAGAATCTCGGAAATTACTTTACCGATCTGTAGTGATGATGGATGGTGTTATATGTAGTGATGATGATGGATGGTGTTATATGTGGTGATGATGGACGATGTTATATGTAGTGATGATGGATGTTGTTATATGTAGTGATGATGGGTGGTGTTATATGTAGTGATGATGGATGGTATTATATGTAGTGATGATAGCTGGTAATATATGTAGTGATGATGGGTGGTGTTATATGTAGTGATGATTAGACAATAAAATAATAACAGTTTAATGCTAAAAAAATATACTTTGCTGTACCGTTGTAGTGAAAAACATGGTGGAACTTACATACACTGTTAATGAACTATTGATCGGTGCTACATGTATTCCATTGAGTGGCAGAAACGAGGTCTACCACATGCCCATGTCTTGATCTGGCTGAAAGAGAAACTTCGACCGAACATGATTGACAACTGCATACGAGCAGAGTTTCCTGTACCCGAAGAAGATCTAGTTCTCTATGAGATTATCAAGAAGCAAATGATTCATGGGCCATGTGGACTATTCAACAGACACTCTCCATGCATGAAAGATGGACGTTGCACCAAAAACTTCCCCAAAGAAGTTTTTGGTGCAACAGACAGTGAAATAACAGTAGACAACAAATGGGTGGTCCCCTACAATCCTCTTTTGAGTAAAGCATTCAATGCGCACATCAATGTGGAGTTCTGCAATTCAGTCAAGTCCATCAAGTATGTCTGCAAATACGTCAACAAATGCTCTGAACACGAGATCTTTGCATTGGAAAAGGATGGAAATTATGATGAGGTGACACAGCTTCAGCAAGGCCGTTATATATGCAGCAATGAAGCCCTATGGAGAATTTTTAATTTTCCCATACACGAACGATGTCCAACAGTAGTTCATCTGGCTGTTCACCTGGAAAATGGACAAAGAGTTTACTTCACAGAAGAGTCCCTCCAAAATCAAATGACAAATCCTGCTGATACGACTCTCACTGCATTCTTTAAGCTTTCACACAAAGATGAGTTTACTAAAATACTCCTGTATGTTGACGTACCCAAGTTCTACATATGGCAGGCTTTAATGAAAAAGTTCCAGAGAAGAGCTCAAGGATCCGATGTTGAAGGATATCCAGGAATAAAGTCAGGCAATGCTTTGGGACGTGTCTACACGGTTCACCCCAACAACTTTGAATGCTATTGTTTGAGACTACTTTTGCACCACATCCGTGGCCCAACATCATATGCAGCACTCAAGACAGTGAATGGGCTAGTCTGCAGAACCTATCGGGAAGCGTGCAATCTCTTTGGCATACTGGAAGATGATGGTCACTGGAATGACACATTAGAAGAGGCAGCAGCTACTCAATCGCCAATGAGAATGAGGAACCTGTTTGCCATCATGATTGCTACATGTGGACTTTCCAACCCAAGCCAGCTCTGGGAAAACCACCAAGAAAGTCTTTCAGAGGATCTGCTTCATCAAGCAAGAAGAGAACATCCTGGTCAAGAGATTGAGTTCATGGATGACATGTTCAACGGGGTTCTGATCATGCTGGAAGACAAAGTGATGGAGCTATGCGGAAAACATCTGACTGATTTTGGATTGCCTTCCCCAAACCGAGACGAACCAGTAGCTGCTAACAGGGAGTTGCTCAGAGAGACAGACTACTCAGTTGAAGTTCTGGTGAATTTTCTTGAAGAAAATGCGCCTCACCTGGTGCCTGATCAAGCGATACAAGCGGAGCAGGGAGGTATGATCTTTCTCGATGCACCTGGTGGGACAGGAAAAACATTCCTGATCAACCTTCTGTTGGCCAAAGTACGTAATCAGGGGAAACTTGCTCTTGCTGTGGCATCCTGAGGCATTGCTGCAACACTACAAGAAGGAGGACGTACTGCACACTCAACTTTTAAACTGCCTCTCAACCTCGCTCACAATGAGAATCCAGTGTGCAACATCAAAAAAGGATCGGCAAAGGCAAAACTCTTAGAAAATGCAGCCTCATAGTCTGGGATGAATGCACTATGTCTCACAAGTTAGCGTTTTAAGCATTGGACAGGACCTTGCAAGACCTGCTATTTGAGTTCAAGCGACTTCAGTTCCCGTTTAAAGTAAGGTTTGCCATGACCATCTACAAAAGCCAGGGACAGTCCCTGAAGATGGTTGGCCTAAACCTGGTGTTTCCATGCTTCTCTAATGGACATTTCTATGTTGGATGCTCCAGAGTGGGAACTGGCAAAAATCTGTACATACTTGCTGCAAATGGCAAAACCAAAAATGTGGTCTACCTTAATGCACTACAGTGAGACAATGTGGAGCCTCCCGGAGGGTGGCGTCCTACCGTGGCCTAGCGAAAGAGCCGCCCTGAGGGCGGCGATTCCGCTAGTGTGTATATATATATATATATATATATATATATATATATATATATATATATATATATATATATATATATATATATATATATATATATATATATATATATATATATATATATATATATATATATATATATATATATATATATATATATATATATATATATATATATATATATATATGTATATGTGTGTGTGTGTGTGTGTGTGTGTGTGTGTGTGCTGATAACTACGAGGAACCAAGAAAACACGAAGTTCCCAAGCGATTTCGTGTAATTCACATCTTCAGGGGTGAGTACAGACTAAGGAGTAGTTACTAACGAGGCTAACATATAAAGGAGAGTAAGATCAAGTCCCAAAGAAGAGAAGGTGTCCTTCATATTCAAGTCATTAAGTAGCGACCAAACCATTTCACCTGGTTACAAATCTTCTTACTCAAAATTTTTTCCAATTTGTACATGCCATTACTCAAATTCATGTTGACATATTCGGTGTGTTTATTGGGACTACACCCCCTGTAGATTCCATCATGTTCCTACTGACAATTGAATTACAAAGTAAGATTGACGAGACATTAGCCCAGTCAGTGCAATGATTATTATCTGTCATATGAAAGAACAAAGCATTGGATTCCTTACCTGTCATAGCACTATATTTATGCTGATTAAGTCGAGTTATAAGAACTTTGCCCGATTGAGCTAAGTAGAAACTCTTAGATTCCTTGCAAGGAACTTTGAAAATTCAGTCACCTGCATTGCTGGTGGAGTTCTTAATTAACATTTATTCTATAGTTACTTCTTGATTCGATTTACACAGATTCAATTTGCACCTTTTTAAAATAACACTAGTATTAAACCCTAGATAGGTAATGTGGGGTCCAAAAATCCCCACGACGAACAGCATTTAGCTAGTTGGTGATTGGATGTATTTGCTGGGCGATTTTGGACCTTGGCATCCAATCTGCAGTCAGTCTGCCTCATGCTCTCGCAGAGTGAAGGTGTGTTGTGTGTCGCTCCCGATCCAAGGCCTAATAGCAGAGACCCTGAGGTCCATTGGCACCCCATGGTACTCAAAGTGCACCTGCTGTTCCCTCGCATTGTTTAGACGAAATATTATGATTTAAATTGTAATACAGTGAACAGTTGTAGTGGGAATGTGTGTGTAGCTGTATTGGTGTTCGCTCATTGTCATTCACATTTGTTTGAGGTACACAGAACCCCCCAAACCGAATCTTAGACCGAGGAACTCGCATGTGCCACGTGATGGCAAATGTTTTTTATTTTAATTTTTTTTTTTACGGGGATTAGCTCACCCTGGCACAGGTCACTGACCCACATTGGGGCATGAGGGCGAAAATTTAACAATAATAATAATAATAATAATAATAATAATAATAACTCACAGTAAATAGAATTTATATTAAAAATACAAAATTAAAAATATAATAAAATAATAATAATAATATTATTATTATAATTATTATTATTATTATCATTATTATTATTAACATAAGAACATAGGAATGGAGGAAACTGCAGCAGGCCTATTGGCCCATACTGGGCAATCCCATTTACACCCAACCCGTATTGCTCATGTAAGCATCCAACCTATGTTTGAAGCTGTCCAGCGTATTCGAGTTAATGATGATATTTGGAAACTTGTTCCACTCAACACTACTGTATTTCCAAACCAATATTTATCTATTTCACGCCTAAATCTAAATTTGTCTAATTTAAAACCATTGTTACGAGTTCGCTCCTGGTTGGATAGTTTGAGTGCCTTTGTAATGTCCCCTTTGTTTAGCCCTGACTTCCATTTATCCACCTCTATCATGTCGCCCCTCGCTCTACGTCTCTCGAGGGAGTGCAAATTAAGATGCTTTAACCTGTCTCTGTAGTCAAGGTTCCTAATGCCCGGGATTTGTCTTGTCATTCTCCTCTGAATTCTTTCCAAGGATTCTAAATCCATTCTGTAATACAGTGACCAGAATTGAACTGTGTAATCCAATTGAGGTCTCACAAGAGCATGATATAGTTTTAAGATGACCTCGCTAGTCTTATAACTAACACTCCTTTGTATGAACCCAAGTTCTTTATTAGCCTTGTTTCGAGCAAAAACACATTGTTTACTTGGCTTAAGATTCCTACTTATCATTACTCCTAAATCTCTTGCGCAGTCGGATTTCTCAATAATATCGTTGTTCATCTGGTATTTGGTTTCCCTGTTTGCATCTCCTATACTGAGTACTTTACATTTGTCCACATTGAATTTCAACTGCCATTTTTCAGACCATTCAAAAAATTTGTTTAGATCTTCCTGTAGTTTTGCCGACTCCTCTTCAGATTTAATTACACATCCTATTTTAGTGTCATCAGCAAATTTACTTATGTTGCTGTCTATGCCGATATCTGTGTCGTTTATGTATATAATAAATAATAATGGTCCAAGTACTGAGCCTTGGGGAACTCCACTAGTGACGTTGCTGCAATGGAATTTAGTGCCGTTAATGCTCACTCGCTGCTTCCTCTCCTGTAACCACGCCCTAATCCATTTTAGAATATCACCTTGAATGCCATGAGCCTCCATTTTTCTATTTAGTCTTTCGTGGGGGGCTCTGTCAAAGGCTTTACTAAAGTCGAGATATACCACATCATAATTGTGCCACTCGTCCACTGATGAAAAGAATGTTAATAGATCAGTTAGACATGAACGCCCGCTTGTGAAGCCATGCTGGGAATCATTGATCAACTTGTGCTTCTCTAGGTGATTTCGAATAGAATTTGAAATGAATGATCCAGTAATTTGCCTCCAATTGATGTTAGACTGATTGGACGGTAGTTAGAGGATAGTGATCTATCTCCCTTCTTGAAAATCGGTATTACATTCGCTATCCTCTAGGATTCTTGTGCTACACCTGTTTTTAAGGACATGTTAAACAAGTTTGCCAAGGGCATACTAAGCTCTTTCTTACATTTCTTTAATACTGTGGCAAATATCTCATCGGGACCAGATGAATTATTAGGCCTTAGTTTTTCTCTTTGCTTACTAACATTGTTACTACTCGCTACTATCTTGCTTAATTGGTTTTCTTCACTACCTCTGTATAGAGTAGGTGCCTCGGGTATCTTGTTTAAATTTTCGGTGGTAAAAACTGTTGAAAAATATTTATTCAGATTATTGCTCATTTCTCCGTCGTTATCAGATAGCTCGCCGGTATCTGACTGTATTGGTCCAGTGTTTTCTCCTGTTTTAGTTTGATACATTTGATAGAATCCCTTGGGGTTTGACTTCGCCTCCCTTGCTATCCTCAGCTCATTATTCCTCTTTGCTTTTCTTATCTCAGTCTTAACCCTACCTGCCAATACCATATAATAATCTCGGAGGTAAACTTCGCCACGATTTATCCTTCTACCTGTGGTGTGATGAAATCCTAGACAAGGTTCTTCAAACTCCAGAGCACGAGCAGTAGATATATTCAATAAGTTGTACAAGACTTGGCGTGATAGCCGACCGATACAGAAGCGGGCACAAGGGACCCCGGGCCGTATGTAGGCCGAGGCTGATCTGAGAGAAGTTGTCTAGCTGGGCAAGGAGAGTTACTAGACATCACTAGGACAATCAATGAGGTCTTCTAATTACTCGACTAGCGCGGTACAGACATAGTATATCGGGACATAGTAAGTGAACATAGGCATTAGACATAAGCAAAGATATCAGACATGCTATGATAATATGGTAATACAGACATGTGAATAAATGGTACAATGAATGGTAACAGAGTCCTGCCGTAAGGCGTGTTCACATATCTTGGTACTCACAAATCTATACACCTCCCTCCCCCTTTACGCTCGTAGTGCAATCTCGAGCGGCTACGGACTCTTTTTCCATGAGTCGGGGGGAGCGGCGAGGGACAATGGGAGGATCAACTGACGACCTTCGTTCCTGGTCTGGGCAAGGGGACACAGGGGACGGGGAGGAAGGTTCGTCACTAGAGGATGGCATTGGGCGGAGATGGCGTCTGTTTCGCCACCACACAAAACCACTGGGGAGGCGGACTTGGTACGAACGAGACTCGCCACGGCCCATGACGACCCCGACCTTGTCCCAGCGGTGTGACGTCGGGTCCTGGATTCGTACTTGCTGGCCGACGGTCAACCTGGGAAGGGGGCGGGCGTGGGCGTCATAGTGGCTTGTCACTTGGGCCATCCGGGCAGCCTCACGGCGGTCACACTCGTCCGCCTTGATCTGCCATTCATCTAAGAAGGACTGGGGGTGGGCAGGCACACAAGTACGAAGGGGGCGGCCATACAACACCTGGGCAGGAGAGCGTCCGGCAGGGGTAGGGGTGTTACGGAGTTCCAGTAGGCCCCTGTCGAACTCCTCGCAGTCCAGGTTCCCCGTCGGTGCTGTCTTGAGGATGAGGTATTTTACGGACTTTACGGCTGCCTCGGCGTGGCCATTCGCCTGCGGGTAATGAGGGGAGGTGACGATGTGGTGGACGCCCCAGCGTTCGGCGAAGCTCTTGAACTCGTGGCTATTGAACGGGGGCCCACCGTCGGTTCGGAGGCGGAGAGGCACTCCGACTTCCCGGAAGAAGCAACAAAACATCCGGATGACCCTGGAAGAGGTGGTGTCCCGACCACAGGGAACTACCACGGGCCATCCAGAGAGCCTGTCGGCGACCACCAGGAAAGACTTTCCGGCCACATTAAAGAAGTCGGCGGACACGGATTCAAAGGGCCGCTTCGGGAGGTCATTGCACAGGTACGGCTCCTGTTGCTGGCTGGGCTGGAGTTGCTGGCAAGGCTCACAAGCCTCAACCGTGCTCTTAATATCGGCGTCAATAC